CGGAAGAGCTGAGCTAGCTGGTTTAACTACCTTCAACATTTCAAAATGATTATAATGATGACTACACTCTAGCTGCCTGATGGGAACCTTTTGGCAGCACAGTGATTCCCCTGCTGTTATTATTTGATGTACTTTCATGATTATTTGTATGAGGACAAAGCACTATAAAAGGGTTAGACATAAGCAGGCACCTACATCAGCCCACATAGAAAAAAAAGTCTAAGTTGCTAGTAAAAAGAACGGGAATTTGTAAAGGCTTATACAGCCTCTAAGCCTAATCTAGTTTTTCTCTCTTTATTACGGAATGTAAAGCAGTGATTTGGAGTGAGATGGAGGCCACAGCATTAGCAATATATAGAAAATGACTGTGTACTTGGAACTCATTTGTAAGTGCAGCTAAATGTTTTGAAATCTCTTTGAGGGTGCAATGATTTCAGAGCCATGTTATAAGAAAACTCTGCTACCACTTATCAATAATATTAACAAAGGCCAGATTTGTTGTGTGGGTCTCTTCATCCTGGCTTCCCGTTTAGAGTCATTCTCATTATTCTGTGAAATAATGAGAAGTTCACCTTAATCACTTATGCTGATATTTTCCTCCCCTCTTGCAACTACACATGAGAGTCTTGGTAACCGGAAGTAAGACCTACAGTTTTGGGGAAGAAGCAGACAAGAAGGTTAGGCAGCTGGTGGAGAGCCCTGAAGGTTTTGGATCCTGCCTAGGCCATCGCATTCAAACTCTGTCCAATGCCACCTTGGTTGGGAAAATTAAGATCTTTCTTCCAGCCATGCTTATAAAATGAATGACTTTTTACCGAAGAAGATAACATTAATTCTCCTAACTGAGCTATAGTTACAATTTATGTCTCTGAAAGAGCTATGAAAGTACTATATCACACCAGAAAGCAGTAGGATTCAGATGACAGGATCCCACCCAAAGCTGCTTTGAAGGACCATAGCTACCCAGTGCCCAGCCATCCTGGTGCAGCCTGTGTCGCTGCCAGCCTGCAGCCTCCTCTGCCCAGAGGAGCAAGACTGAGAGCAAACAGCCCCCTGAGAGCAGCCCATGGGACCACCCAACTCCCCAGATGTGCTCAGCAGTTGTTTGGTAGGATGCTATTTACTTCCCCTGGGCTAAAAGCGTGCTGGAGACCGTGGTAACAGTTCAACACCATAAGCACGCATCAAGAGCCAGTAACGCTCTCAGACACCGCTCCAGCAGTTAACAGAATATATCTTTTGATGCTTTTGCGACATAGAGAGGTACTGAGACAGATGGGAAACTGAGGCAGGAATTAATTACGTGATTTCCATAGACTACAGCCTGTAATAGGGCTGGGAATTGGGCCCTGCTTTCTTGGGAGACTGAATCCCTAACATGCATCCTGTCCACTAGACTATTCCTCAGTCCCTCTGATTTGCTCCTCTGTGAGGGTAATCAAATACAAAATGCCTGCTTTCTGTACAGGAAATGCTGCAAGAGATGCATCACCTCACAAGACTACTTAGCATGTTAGAGGACCACAGTTTAATTAACCCCACAATGCCTTTTCCCCTCTCCATTTTTTGATTTTGTTGATAATTTCCTACTTAAAACATCACAGACCTTTCTGTATCACACAGCTTTCCATATTAATTGCCCAATACTTCTTTTTTTTTCCCTATATCTATCACCATCTCTATTGCTGAAACAAAAGCTTATGCTGGTTTCCGGTTTTAACAACCGTCACATATCCTGGACATCCAGAAAATCCTGTTTTCACTGCTGGTATCTGCTAGAGCAGAAAAAGGGAATAGAAATAATTGCTCATTCCTACAACTAGATTAAAATGTATTGGAAAGGTAAAAATCTGTTATATAGAATTCAGACATGTGATGAAATATCCACACTACCATCAGCTTAACTTGGACCAGATTTTTTTCTGGCAGTAAATCAAATTCATTTTTTGCCACTCTTTTATGAACACAGATTGCACTGTACAATTTTGACGACTGTATCTTTACCCGCTTGGAGCTATTTACGGAAGGCCCTAGCATCAGTACCTTCACAATCCAAGGCTGTTAAGGCCTCGACACGTACATAATATGACAAATAGTCACCAGAACAATACAACAATTTATTATAGAATGCTTCTTTGAAAGATGTGGAGTTCATTTCTTTAACAGATAAAATGTACTAAGTCATCCTCCTCTTGTGCTTCTGCTTCTCTAGTGTATAGTCATTACACCAGTATATAATTCTAAGGACTATAAAATTGGAAGGAAAAGGCATACTATTAGGTTCAAAATGAGAGACACGGGAACGAATGGGAATTATAATAATAGCTGGTGATGGCATAAACACATTTAGTCATTTACTGCCACATTGAGAAACCTTACTAAAATGTGAGTTCTGCTTCACTTCGGGACTCGCTCAACGCACCTCTTCCATTCAAGGTTCATGCTGACAAGAAAAAATAGCAACTCCTTTTCCTTTCTTATGTTTCCAGTGTCTTTTGAGAGGCTGATGTATTTTTTAGGCACTTTGCAATGAGTCAGGTTTGCTTTCTAAATGAATCTCCAGCAGAGAAGTCATTCAGACCGATCAGTCTGGAGTCTTTCAGAAGCAGACTCAGGATTTGGAACTGCTGAAAAGACTCATTACTGATGGAGCCACTATTATACTTTTTGATTCCCTCTGCCCTGTGCATTGTTTTGAGTTCTCTTCCCTTACCCACTTCTCCAAAAGGTTTCATAGACAGCACAGGTGCCTGCTCCCCTCCAAACAAGAAGATTATGGGCGGTAGCCTTTCAAATAGCACTTCTCTGCAACTCATCATGACTGGGTTATCTTCTTATTTTTCTGAAAGCACTTACTTAATATTAATGAAATGTCTTGTCAGTGTAGTTTTCCTCCATAGTTTATCTGCAATGCATAATTCACAGATAAAAGCAAGCATGATCCCTTATGCTGAGTAATATGAATTGTGAGTTTTGAAATCTACTGATGTTTTCTCTACTCAGTGTGTAGGCCACCAGGCAATTTCGAATATGATAGTAAGGGCTGGATAGTAACAGTGAGGGCAAGGACACTAAGTCCATGCTCCTTCCCTCTCACACCTTCACACAAGGAGAGGATTAGTTGCTGCGGGTTAAGATTAAAGATTCAAGAAATTTCCCAAAGGCTTACTGTAGGTGAAGGTCTCACAGGGCTCTTGCTTTGATTTGATCATCCACACAACAGAAATTCCCAACATAATTTTGAAATCATGGCTCTAACTTAAGTAGATACGGCCTCCTATACATAGAGGGAGAATAGCTATATGACCATTTGTAAAACATTTTTCTGCTGAAAGACACCATCCCCTATCACAGAAGGCACCACATAATGTTGACACTGATACTACTATTTTGAAAGGAGAATATCTGCCCAGTGTGAGATTGAACCTACCTATGTTATAGTTTGTTCTAAATCATAATGCTTCCACAGGAGAAAAGTTGATCTCGATAGCTGTTGAACTAATATAGTACTTAAATACGTTAAATATTGTTTGTTTCCTAATTTAAGAAAAAAATATCTGAAAGGATTCTGGAGAAACTATTTTTGTTAGCATCTAGTATAGTTCTTCGGACACAATTACCACTAACACGCTATTGCTTGACAAAACGGTTATACATCCTCTGAAATAACCTGTTTTCAACACATTTCTTTACGAAACAACATTCATTAAAAACTGGATATTCTCTTAGCCAGAATACCACCTTGTCATTTTTCTGTAGTAATATATACTCTACAATACAGTGCTAACAAGACAAACGGTAGCAAACCAGTCTTCTTCCCTGGTGTCAAAATGTGGTCTAGATACACCATATACAAAGAAAACGTGTTAGATAAACGGATGCTGTCTGCAGTTAGTACTTACTGCCATCCAGTATCATAGTCTGTGCTCTTAACATCCATATCATGTACCGAGGCTCCTTCGTCTCCAAGTCTTTTTCTTTTCATATTGATTTAAAACAGAAAATGGTTAACCTAGGAGTAACCAACCAAATACACATAATGCAAATTCCTCCTTGTATGGATCTGATGACATTGAGGTAATTATTGACTACTTTAGAAGCCCAGTAGGGATGGACAAACAGGCTGAAATGCGGATTCAAATGTATGCACCAGAGTCTTGTCAGATACAAAAAAGAGTACACCTCCACCAAGTGCAGCTGAACAGTGCCTTACTGCTACACCCCAAATCCGTGCTCTGAGATGCAGGACTATCAAAGGCTCCTCAGTTTATATGGAGAATAATAATGAAAATAAGAGGAGTAAAGTAAGTGGCACTGGAGGACATTCAGGTGATCTGGAGGCACAGCGGGTATTAGGCAGGGCTTTGCTCCAGGACGCCCTGGTCTTTACTTGCACGGATCAGCAGAGCTTGTGCTCCCGAATGGTCTGATGCGCTTTCTGCTGCGCGACTCTCCGCTCCTCCACATTTTGCTAAGGCTGAACCAATTCCTCTCTAATAGGCAGGCAGAGAAAAGAGAAATATGCCTTGCTTTTTAATTTGTCTAGGCATAGCTTTCACAAGAGAGTTGCAACAGAACAAAGTATTCAGGTTTGGGTGGACATGGCCTAACAATAGCCAAAGAGAAAGAGTTACAATTCATGCAAGCAGCATGTCTTACGTAGATAATCATCTGCATTAGCCAAACTGCAGTTTGGAAAGTTGCAGCTTGGTCTGATGTTCCTCGCTTGGCAAACTGGAATTTTTTTCATTAATTAGTGACCACTTTCCTAATCATCTTTCTCTCTGTGTTTTTTTCCTACTATACCACTGCACGTTATACAGAAGGTCCAGAAAGCAGCAATTGAGAGTATTTGGCATGTTGAGATTTAACTGATTTTTATATGGAAAATGACACTCACTTTTATGACTGAATGACAAATGGCTGTTTACCTGGCAACCTGCTGTGACAAATACTAGTACAATATTTTCTCTTCCTAGTAGGTCACAGCACTGAGAAGTATAATCCTTGAAAGCGCCAACATTTCAGTTCCTGGAAAAATTGTGACTAAGCGACCGTACTTTTTGTTATGGAGGGGGAGGGGAGATATTCCAAAAATATTCCTCGCTGCAGGTATACACTAGTGCAATAAAATCTGGGGAAAAAAGTATGCATGTAAGGGCAATCGTGCAAGGGGAAAGTTAGTGATAAAGGGGTTCTACTGAAAAGAACTCTCTTCACATTATGATGCTGCAAGGCAATATTGTGGCAGCACACAATATATTCCTCTTGAACACATTCGGGAAAAGACTTTTAGAGTTTTACATTACAGCAAAAGGCAATAATGGTTAAGATTATACCTGTAAACTTGCACAAAAGCTGCAATTCAGCATAATTTCTCTTTTATCATAAATATTTCACTACTTTGTCATAACTCCTGTTAAGTTGGATGTACTGGTAGACCTCATGCTTAATCCAACTGAGTGAAAACGTTTACCTAAAATTAAAAACTGAAGAACAAGGCCATCTGAAGAATTCGGGGGTTTGTTCTGTTCATATAATTTTGGCTAATAAAACCTTTGAAAAAATGGAAAGAACCAACACTTTTCGTTCTGATAACCGTAAAACGATATTTTCAATACTTAATTTGTAAAGCCTCTGAACTCCTTCGGCAAAAAAAATTTTTCCAAATAAAAATGGTCTTATTGAATTCTCGTTTCATGAGAAAAGTCATAATTTTTTGCTTGGCTCAGTTTGAAGCTATTTATTACTATTTTTCTGTTAGATGAGAAATTTAAAAAATACTAGTTATACTCATATAGCTTACAGTCTAGGATAACAATTTAGTTTAGTCTAGGATAACAATTGCCTTTGACCCAATATTCGTTGTAGGCAAAAAAATAAAGTAATGGGAATTTGGCGTTCTAAGGATGGAATCTGGCCTGTAATTATGTTATAACCCTAGAACCAAACATATAATTATGACAAAATATTAGGATGGATGTCTTTTCTGCTAGGTCTCGAATCGCAAAGTCTGAGGTGTGCAATTTATTCAGCCCTCTAAGATCCCAAATCCTACTGACTGCAGCTAACATTTAGAATATGTTCAGACTGTAGAGCTAGATTTTAACCTGATTTCAATGTAATAACCGTTTCGGCAGATCTTTGTTCTGATTCTGATAGAGTCAGGCTGTTTTTACTTGTAAACTATGTTTTAGCACTAAAGGGAAATAACATGCTTGGTTAACCATGATTTAAAAATAAAGATGAGGTCCTTAAAAATAACCAACATACACATAGAATCTCGGGAACCTCAAGACATCATCTGGTTTTTCTTCCTGCCCCAAGGCAGGATCAATCATACCACTGTCAATCTTGACAGATGTGAGTCTACATCAGTCTTACAGACTCCCAGTGAGGAAGGCTCCACGACATCCCCAGGCACCCTTTTCCCAGGTTTCACCGTCCTTATCCTTTGAAAGCTTTCCTAATGTGACTTTTTGCACCCACAATTTAAGCCCACTCGTTCTCGTTCAGTCTGCCACATGCAGAGACAATGAAGGAAAAGCAAGGTCTGACTTACTTCTCCAGAGGATGGTTTCATACCATACCTGTTTCTTGCACTGTTCACCTGCACGTATCCCCTTCTTAAGGGCTCCAGCCATCTATCCCTGAGGTTTTATTGCATGAGAAAAGCATTAAGAGTAAAATATATATCATCCAATTTGCCAAGAATTATATACTATTATGGTCACTGAGTAAATTTTAATACTACAATTAAACACTCCAGTTTAAACATTTCAGCACTGAAATAGATTATGAAACTCTTCAGGCCACAGTAGTTCAACAGAATGGAAGGAAAGGTGTTATATACATATTTATACACATATCTATTTATAGCTTCCCTGTTTGCATACTTGTATGTATATATAACTTATGATTACATGTACTCAGTTAGGCCAACGCCACCTACTTTTTTCACTAGTAACCTGGTGTTGCAGACATCTCAAATATCAGCTCTCCCTCCCATCCAAACAAAAAAACCCCAACAGCTAAAAATATAAATCTTGGAGTCAGTGAAATAAAAAATAGGCACTTTATTACACCACAGCATTTCCCTCCACTTTCTCTGTGGTATCATTTGAAGCCTGCTTTCTAAAACAGAAGTTGAACAAATGAATCCTTCTGTCCTCACTTTCAGTTGTCAGCAGTGCTTCAGTGTGAGATGAAATAAATTGCCAGGCTCTTTCATCTTCTATAATCAGCTCTGCACAGCTGAGTACACCCACAGCCCTGCGAGGTGCCTCTGCCAGCACTAATTCTAGGTGGAACGGGAAGTCTTTGTTAGTGCCACATTTCTAATGTTCTACACAGGAGTGGGTTTTATTATTTTTATTTCTCTTTTTTTTTTCTCCTGTGCACTCTTCTCCAACTGATAAGCTGCTGTACAATCCATTTTCTGCAGGAGAGAAGCTTTTAGGTGGCAACATTATTTTCAAAACGTGCTTGATGTAGGGTATTTTTGTTTCAATGGGTGCCGCTATCGCTGATGGTATCAGCGCGCTCACAACATAATACTTATAAATTGAAGCTTGTTCGAAGAAGCCTTCAGCCAATCTAACAGCAGGTCAAAACATTTCATTTTTAGAAGTGTGAAAGCTATAAATTCATCGCTATTGCACTAGTGTGGAGCATTGTGGAGATTTACTTACCGCAGGGTTATTTTTTGTCTTTCCCCAACACGGAGGCTACTGAAGAACGGTGCAGAGGACACCAGTCCAGGAAAGAGCAGAGTCTCCAAAGGCTCACAGGCAGCCCAGGACCCCCCGGCCAGACCCTTTATCAGCTTAATCCTTCAGGAATTGAGAGGCAATCAATGAGAAACTAGACACTTTGCGGGCGGAGGAGTGAAGACGGGCTTTGCCAACAGGCTTTACCCCTAACAGTTCAGGCGGTTGGTGATGCGGCTGGGGAGCTTGCACCCTCCAGGTCATCTGGCCAAACTGAGGGCAGGTCAGTGGGATGAAAAGTGTCATGGGTGCCCGTGCAAGTACTAGCAGACGCACGGGCAGCAGCAGTATCCTCTCAACACTGCTGTTGGCAGCCTCAGCAAGGGAGGCAAAGTCCAACTTGCCACAGAAACTCAACTGTGATACTCTCTCATTCCTTCCTAGAGTTAGTTCCTGAAGGCTAAAACTAAACAAACTTTGACATGTATGTGTTCTCTTCTATAACTGGGTTATGCATTGAGGTTTTCACTCTCTCACACTACCCTGGTAGGTGTTAGATATAGTTAAATCAAAATGTTGCATGCTACACTCCAGTAAGCAATGGTCTGAAACTGCTCAGCAAAAGAGAAATAAGGAAGAGCAGAAAATTGACTTTCCTCAGTGCGCCAAAAAACAAAACCTTTTTACTTCCAGGATGGAAACAAACACTTTCCTACATGTTAAATAATTCCAGTAGGGCAAGTCTAAGATTTGGCTATCGCCCCATTTCTCATGGGCTGGTAAGTTCTTTGAAAAAGAGTGCATTAATTAAGCAGCATGACCTAGCAGGAGGTGCAGTTTTATCATAAAATAATCACAATCCTGGCCAATTATGAGGCAGAAGCAAAATGCCTCTCTACCCCTGAGAATTTGATTATCCCAAGACATCTACAACCAACAGAATTGGTTTATTAAAGTTCTTATAATTAAGTAGTGCTATTCTTGAGAAAATGAATATTGCAGAATCTGATTAAAAGAAAGCTGACCATTAAAGGTACTATGCAGCAAAGCAAGCCTTATATATTATTCTACATCTTAAAAATGCTTTAACAGCCAATAAAATTGCTCCCTGTGCCAAGCAGTTTCCCGATCTTGAAATTACAGTTGAAAGTGCTGTTAATCATTTTTAAATCACCTCATATTCACTGCTGACCTCTAAATTGTCTGGCTGATCTTTGGGCACAAGAAAAAGAAAAAAACACACACACTACACATTTTGCCAAGAAGCAAGTACACTCAGTGCACCGAGCTGGATTCCTCCCTTGTCAGGGCAGATGGATGCAGCTGGCGATCGCAGTGTTCCCGAAGCTGCTGGGACAGGTGATGGCATGTTTCTGGGAGGTTTTATTCTGCCTGGTGCTCTCTGACAAATCCAGTTATGAAGGCGTTCTGAAAAATACAAAAAAATGTTACATCTCCTAGCTCTGCTTGTTTTGTCATGAGCCCGGTCACAGCGAGCTGACCAGCATCAAGGCACAAGGAGGTTGTCCTGTTACAACCACGCTCCCAGAAGACTTTCCCCTGCAAGGAAGCTGCAAAACTTGGATTTCAAAACCTGGATGCACCCACTGTGTAAAAACATTTTTGGTTAAAGGGTAACCATGCCTTCATAAAGGCTGCCAAATTTTTTCGAGTATTACATAAATATAAAACAGGGGCTTGACTGTTCACCTCCCCTGGCACAATCATTTGCAAATCAGAATAACAGCATTTTGTAAACACTACGTAGCCGTAAGTATGCAAAGCTCTGGAGATCCAAGGCCTGCAGCTACAGTACAAGTAGAAAAGGTTTTGTGCCAAAAGCAATACCCAACTACCGGGTGTGTCAAAACTCAAAGCCAAGTCTCAATTTTGCTCTTTATAAGAGGCCAAACAAAACTCCCCGAGTTGAACTTCCTTGAACTTTGGGGTGTTTCAAATCTGAATTCAAAACTGGAGTTCCGAGCCCTTTTCTGATGGCCAGAAAAATTATATAAAGTTAACACTGTGATATAAATAACCGAGAGTAAGGTAATTCAAAATCAAGTCTAGCCTTCAGTTGAGAGTCTGGAGCGCCGGGCTGAGAGAACTTTATACTTTTCCCCACAGATTTTCTCTCGCGTTCTCTATAATTAATTCTAATCTCCTCTACAGAACTGTCTGTCAGAAGTATGACTATTCTTAGGGAAAAAGCACTAAAAATATGTCAGAATTCACTTGTCTCAGAAAATGAATGACTGGGATGGCTTTTTTAATCAACAAGCCTTTCTATTTGTTTGGGTTTGCTGGCCCTCACCCAGTGTCAGTAATTTTAAAATCAAAAGATCACAGTGTCCAGTAAAAGATTAAAGGCCATGCTGAAAAAATGCGGCTGAAACGCTCAAACCTGAGAAAGGGAACTGGGCTCCCTTTCCTGGCTACCTTCGTGCTCAGGCAGGAGCTGGGTCCTAAATGTACTATTTTTTTTCAGCCCCTAGTTTCAGCCAAAGTAATCTTCCAACCCATTAAGGAAAAGAAGGGGAGTATTATGTTTACTTAGAACTGAATGAAACCAGCACCTCTTTCTTAAAGTGGTGAATTTTTGGAAAGGTCCTAGCGGTAGCAGACTATTTTCTCTGTTACTTACCAGCATCTGGGGGTGATGATAACCTTCTTTCCACAAAAATCTAGGTGCTGCAGGCTAACTACTGTAACAAATATTAAATCAAACCCATATGCATAAAACAGCATACAGGCACGCATGCAGCAGCTATATTGTTGCTACTACTGCTGAAATATATAAGAAACCTGCTGCAAAGGACTTCCGTTAAGCTTGACCACAGCTGTATTTGAGAAGGTTAAAGTAAAATTAAGATGCAGTATGATCATCACTATTTGTTGCAGCTGATATAAAACAGAACAACAAATATTAGCTGAGGATATTGTGCAATGCCACCTTTTGTGCTCTGTATAATGCTAATTTCATCTAAACAGTTCTTTAACTCCTTCTGTGGGTTACAGTGAGCAGCCCTAAGCCCACAAGCCAGTTACGTCCCAGGGAAGTTTTTGCCGAACCCTGATCTATCCGGTTCTTATAAGTCTGTGTGCTACGCAAAGCTGGTTATAAAATATGCGAATTGAATTTAACATTTATCGGTGTGGTTACAGGATACACTTTGTATAAACAGAAGATCCAGCTAAATGAATATAGAATAGTTTGAATCTGAATGCAAGTACTTCTAGTGAAAGGAACCCGACAAACAGGTGCACACAGTTAGATCTCTGCACATTAAATGTCAGTAAACACAGGGTTGCTTTTTAATCTTTTCTAGCTGTGTTTGTGTTTAGAGAGGAGGGCTCATTCTTGCAAAACATGTTTCATAACCCTCTCAGCAGTGGACTGATTGACAGAAGCTTCCTTCTTGCCTTTCCTTTGTATAATTAACCGCTAGATCCTATTACGGTGCTTCCTGCCTTTGACAACGGTCCTTCTCCTTCTGAAGTCAAAAGCAACTTTGCCATGAGCTACACCTGGCACAAGGCTGAGGCCACTGACAAAGAAATTTGCTTTCCATCATATATTCCCATTACCAGTAACACGCAGCATATGGGTGAAAGAGCCACAAGAGGCAACCGATACTTTCGGACAACCCGTAGTATCACAGCCTCTCCATATTGTACATTAAACTTATATTTATACCCAGCAGTCAAGGAGAACATTAAGTATGCTGATATTACAGGTTCGTAATATCCTCTCTCCCAAAGCACTGATATGATTTTATACTGCATGGATTTGTGCAATTTTAGACAGAATAGGGCTTCACTAACGGTCACTGGTCAATTTTCTCAGATTGCTCTGTGAGGCAGGTTGTACAGCGTGGCCGAATCCAGTTGGCGCTAGAGGAAAGTCTACAGAACAAGACGCACAGTTATTTATCACAGGGCAGATTTTCCACAAAGTACTTCTTTGGTCTTTTTTTTTGTATTATTGTCCCTGTGTATTTGTCACTGCCGTGTCGAGGGACCTTGTTATATTCTGGCGAATTCATGAGGCTGCTAGGGAGCGTAGTAATTTTAACAACATTGATAATACCGTGTACTGGGAAAAACACTTCCATAGGTGAAAATTTCCATCTCATAGAGTTAAGAGTGTGCAGAGATGGATCCGAATCCCGCAGTAAACTTCCTAAAAGTTTAAGGCTTTCTAGAATTAGCATTTTGGCACCATTCATTACAGAAATGGGACCCAAGTGCAATATTTGGATCCAGACCTACACGAGGATCCAAGTTTTCCCTGTTTGGTGCTTGATGTAACTTCCATCAAAGCCAGTGGGAGACTTTCCACTGACTTCACTCAAACTACATCAGGCCCTTGGTCGAGAAAATATTTTGACTGAAGAGTTCAGCCCATCACTAATTCTGATAAACATGTTTTTAAACTTTCATTAGAAGATTTTCCCTTCAGAAGAAGAGCTAATAAAGCAAAATGCCTTTCTGAATATGAATTTTGTCTGTCTGCACAATTTATTGCAAAGTCTTTTCTAACTACAAATTAAAATACTTACACGAAATGCATATACTCATTATCATACATACACTCCTGAGATTTGCAAGAAACAAAATGTGTGTGGTTTTAAGACAAACTAAGAAAATTTTACTTTTGTGTTTGAGTCTAAATGCTCATGGAAAAACAGCAGTGTGTGTACGGTTTAGGAAAAAACAATTGACACACTGAAGGCCAGGTCAAATTCAGTATTAATTTAAGGGATTACGGCTCTATACAGCTCTCCAAAGAGCGCAAAGCTTATGTCAGTCCTTTTCTCCGTTGATCCTTCGTGAGAAGTGCAGTCTGAATAGCCAGGGATTTGTTTGTGCAGCAGTACCTTGGTTTTACTAAGAATCAACGGAAATTTCCGTAACACATCAGAAAAAAAGAGTTTTGAAAGAAAAAAAACTACTATGAAAACAAACTATCCACAAGTGCTGTCTCGCTAAAGCTAACAAGTTCCAACAACTGTTAATTTTGTCTGGTTCCTTGGTGGAAGGTTTATATTGCAAACATGTTCCCAGCTATGCCGTAATCCATCTCAAAGGTGGCATGATATCAACACTCCTGCAGCCAGGGCCAAGTCTGGGGGTAGGAGGGTAAGAAAAAGGGCATCAGAAGAGAAACAAATCTTGGTTCCTGCAGTTCAAAGACCCTTCCCATCAGAGCAGAAGGAGCTTATTTTGATTTTATATTTTGGTAAGAAAAACTGACGTGAATTTGTTTGTGTCTATTTGGGCTCTGCCAGATGGAAAGGTTTGCTCATTAGAGGCAGCTGTTTTAGCAAATTACCTCACTATGGTATAATGACTGAGTTATAACAGGCTATTGAAGAAAAGCCTTTCGTTTCCCAGTGAGATCATGATAACTAGAAACAATTTCAATAAGATTTTTGATTTACTTTGGAAAGGATTCAGTTGGAAACACTGGTGATACAATGATGTATTTCTTTTGTTCATGTTTCTTTTTTACACGCATTAAACATTTGGTTTTGCTTTGAACTAATGTATTTATTCTTTCTCTGGGGTGATATATTTCATTATTTAAAAGTATAACTGCAATTACACAGGGAAGGAAGCTACTATATATACAATATGCCTTACTGAAAAACCTATTCCAGAAACTCAGAATGGACTCATTCATTTGCCTTTTATACACCTACTCTGTGTGTTGGATGATTAAAAATCACCATAAGAAAAAGCATAAAGCAACACAAATAGCAAAAGCTGCCCACAGTCTGCGCTCTGAAGGGATATTTGAGGGGAAAAACTTTTTTTCCAGAGTTCGCGCTAAGTCGGCTAGGCTATTTTGAAAAGCTGAAACAAACATCCACATTTTCCCCGTTTTAATTCCATTGCTGTATCTTTTCCTGAACCAAATTTAACATGCTGGAGAATAAAGTACGGCAGAAACTTGACGTTTGGCAGGGAGTTAGTCCCTTGGGCGCAGAGGTGCCTTAGGAGGTCCGCTGAAAATTGGCCGTGCCGAGCCCCGACAGAAGCTGTGCTTCCTGCGGCTGCCACAGCTGCAGCTGCCCAACGCTCGCGTTTGCACAGGCGACGTCAGGTTTGTCAGCGTTTCTTTTTCCCCTGCTCCATTTTGAAACTTTCTTAACAGGCTGTGGTCACAAAATGAGAACTGAACCACATATGCAAGAGCCCTGCACCCTAACGGGCGTAAATCTCGTGCCAAGCAGAGGTGTATGAAAGAAGCCTTGCCCCATGCGCTCCCTCCTGCAGTAGCACTGCTCTTACCCGAGCTGCCCCCTTCCCCAAGAAGAACATTAAAAGCCAAATCTGTGTGGCTTCCTCTCTGATCAAGCTGTTTCATTCACTTGTCTTTCCTCTGACTGCTATAGCAGAAGACGAAATTTCAGTCCTGCTTA